TTTTTTTTTTTTTTTTTTGTAACGATTAGATAATTATATTTTTTCAATAAATATTCGTACCTTAGCAAATGATCATGAAAACAAAAAAGTACGACATTTCATAGTAAGTATGTATTTTTCGTTAAAAAAAGTACAATAGATCGACTCGTCTAATTCTTAGGCACCTCACATGAGAATTTGTGATATTTTGGTATGTACATTGTGATCAATGTCTTAGCTGGATAGTGAGAAAGTTCATGTACATTGAGTATTTTTATTGTAATAATGGGATCTAATTGGTTATAAAACTTATCAGTTCCGCTCACCTGCCCTCGGTGGGCAGTGCCCACCACTTTATTTTACATGAAAAACGTATTCTCAGAATACATTTTTCATGTAAAACAGAATACATTTTTCATGTAAAATAAAGTGGTGGGCACTGCCCACCGTGGACAAGGTATCAAAATTTTACAACTTATTGCATGAGATGGTTTAATAGTTAAGTTGGGACAAAAGTATGCCATTTCATAACATAGGTGCATTTTTTGTAAAACAATATGGCAAATTGACTCGTCTAATTGTTAGGCACCCACACGAGAATTTGTGATATTAATTCTTTTTATGTACATTGTGAATTGTGATCAATGTCTTAATTGGAAATGTGAGAAAGTTCGTGGTACATGAAATGTTTTTTATTGTAATCATGTGATCTAATTAGTTTACCACATGAAATGTTTTTTATTGTAATCATGTGATCTAATTAGTTACACAACTCTATCATATTTTTTTGAATAAAAACGCTTAATTATACTTATATGTCGCCGTGTGTTAAAATATGCACATTCATTAAATTAAAATAAAAAAAGTGTATGTGATAGTCTATGTTTTTTTGTTATAATTATTCATTATTTGGGATCAAAAGTATCCCCTTCTCTAGGTTCACTTTTGATTTGTACAAGACAAATTTAAGTATTAAGGGCATATTTAATTTACAAGCATATTATGTGATTGTAATTAAGCAAACTTACAAGGATAATTTGTGTCATATATTTGTGATGGGCCTCCAGTTTAATTCCATTTCTATGTGAACCGTTATGTACCAATAAAAACTCGTATTTTGGAAGCGTTAACCGTGAACAGTTTCACATACAAGAAGTGTGTATATTTACGAGTCACAACTTATTTTTTATTCAATTGTTTTTTTTTCCTTTAAGTATTTCCTCATCCCATGAAAAAAATGAAAAATTACATAAATAATTATGTGATGTTGAAACCTCTTTCAGGTTCACTAAAAACTTGTGGTGCACAAGTGAACAAGGTATATATCCTACTTGTTAGGACATCACCTAACTTATCATCTAAAATAAATCAAAACCATTGAATATTTGCCCTAATAAACAAACAAGCAGCCTTTCGGTTTACTAAAACCTATCATATTATCTACTTTGAAATTTATTTGAAGAAAAATAATTTAAATGAACTTATTAAACCCACATCTCAAATGCAATAACTCGATTCTTCGAAATTTGTTTCAATAAAAATAATCTAAATGAACCTATTGAATCCACATCTTAAATGCAATAACTCGATTATCTTCTTCGAAATCTATTTTAATAAAAATAATCTGAATGAACTTATTGAACCCGCATCTCAAATGCAATAACTCGATTATCTTCTTTAGAATCTATTTCAAGAAAAATAATCTGAATGAACTTATTGAACCCACATATCAAATGCAATAACTCGATTATCTTTTTCGAAATCTATTTCAAGAAAAATAATCTAAATGAACTTATTGAACCGACATCTCAAATGCAATAATTCGATTATCTTCTTCAAAACCTGTTTCAAAAAAAATAATCTAAAAATGAACTTATTAAACCCACATCTCAAATGCAATAATTCGATTATCTTCTTCAAAACCTGTTTCAAAAAAAATAATCTAAAAATGAACTTATTAAACCCACATCTCAAATGCAATAACTCGATTGTTGTGCTAAAGTGATCAATAATTAATCTTGCCAATTATTGTATTATTATGGTAGAGGCCACAACGAGTCACCAATTAGTGATCACTCGTTCACAATGTCACAAGATCTTTATAGTTAAAACGCAATTAGGCCTAATTAGTAACTATAGACTTTTAAGTAGATGCTAGACGGTCATTAGATAATATCTATTGTTAGATGATTTGATATATATTCAAAGACAAATGAGATTTCTTTACCAACATAAAGATGAAAGGAAATATTTGTTAACAATATTTTTTTTTTTTCAAAGAATTAGTCATAAAATAAAGTTGTTATGCGAACCATATTTATCCGTCCACAATTCGATTCAGCTCGTTTACTAAGTGATTCGAGTCAAACTGTCTACGAATTGTTGGTTTAATATATGTATATATATTTTATAGGTTTTAAACAACGATTTAGACGAATATCCACGTAAATGTATAAATCGTGTTCTGCAAACAAATATATTACGATTATACATTTATTAAACGAGTCGGATCAAACTTTCATGAAGTTAAGCATGCAGAGTGAGTTTGACGCACAGACTAAAAAATAATGAACAATCGAGCTGGACATGCGCATAAATGCATAAAATTTTATATGCGTACAACTTAATTATGATTTTAAACTTATTAAACGAGTCTGACCAAACTTTCGCGAAGTTAAAAGTGGCCGAGCTTGGAGCACCAACAAAAAATGAAGTGTGGCTCTAACATGCAGGGGCGTAGCCACATAGTGGCTCACCCGGGCTTCAGCCCAGTCTAAATTTTTGGTTTTATTAATATGTACTAGTTAAAAAATATTTTAGCCCATATTTTACTAGTTTAATTTATGATATAATTATTCAGTCAATATTAATTTAAATTTAAATTATATTAAACCAAAAAATTATACATATTTTTTGCATGATTCAAACTTTTTATGTATTTTTTTATGGTTATTGCTTACTTTTTGCCATTTTTTCTTCTTTGTTTTCATTTTTAATGTTTGGTTTAAAACACGATTAATTGATATTATTTATATTACTTTATATGTGAAATATATCAATTTACATGTAAACTTTATATTTGAAATAATTTATATTATTTTTATGAGTCAAATTCAAGTAGGCAAGAAGTAAGACTCTTTTTTGATTTACTAAAACAACATAATATATTTTTAGTAATTTATTTTTCATTCATTTTGTAATTTACATTAAATACTTAAAAAATTATCATACTTTGAATTTTCAAATAACAGTGGTGATATTAGTGAAGCCAAATTGAGTCGAATACGTCATATTCGAACTTGTGCTCGTATAATAAATGAGCAAGTTTGCCTCGATATTATTTAATAAATTGAGCGAATCAATTAAGTTCCGCTTGTTTGAATTATTTTTTTATTTTATGTTTTATTATATGAATGAGTCAAGGTTAATGTTTTGCAAACCGAACTGAATTGTACTCCCTAACGAATCTGTTTTAGCAGCCCAGTGTACAAAATATTTCTGGCTACGCCCCTGCTAACATGCCTATTCATTTCAATATGGAGAAACCATGAAAGCAATTTTATGCAATAACACAAGATTCTCAAATTCGTACAATTTTTTTTATGCCCACTCAAAGTGAACCAAAAATATGCTTTATGATTGTGACAATGTAACATATATCACATGCTTTTTCTCTATACATAATTTTCCATCCCCTTTGCATCAAAACCGCATATATATACACATGTGATACCACACGAGAAAATACTTTATGACGTATGATTGCTACAAAAGCTATTTCCTTGCCTTTGGCCAATCACTTCCCTCCACGTCATCACATCAGTTGGGATCCATTTTTTTGAGTCCGTTGGACTTGTTAGAACTTCCGTTCCTCGACTTGTTTGATAATCAAGCTAATTCGAGCTTGTTTAATTAAGAAGGCTAGATTAGACTCGTTTATAACTTGGAAAGAGAAAACTTTAGATAATTTGTTTTAATTGACTCGTAAATATTGATAAATGAATTAAACTCAAACTAACGAGGTTTGAGCTCGTGAAATATGAGCTCTTCGTTAATCTCGTTTACACTTACTTTCACCCACCAAAAAAAAGAAAAATAATAATAATAATAATAATAATAATAATAATAATAATAAAATAATAAATCATTTTTATTTTATTGGCTTACAAATTTAAGTCCAGGAATTGGAAATAAGGAGACATTTTTGTGTCAAGTTCAGATCATTTCCCAAAAAAAAAAAAAAAAACCGAGAGAGAAAAAAGGTAATGTCGAAATCGCCATGGGGCAAAATCGGCAACTGGGCCGCCGAGGCCGAGCGCGCGGAGGCCGAGGAGCGGGAGGCTGCGGAGAAAGCCGCCGCCTCGAACCCTCCGGCGAGCTTCCCCAGCCTGAAGGAGTCCGTGACGACGGCGAAGCAGAAGAAGAAGACGAAAATGTCCCTGCAGGAGTTCACGATGAAGTCGTCTTCCACCCATTCAGGCTCGGTCTCGAGCCGCGGCCTGACGCCGGAGGAATTTCTCCGCCTCCCGACCGGCCCCAAGGAGAGGTCCCCCGACGAAATGCAGCACGGCAGATTGGGTGGCGGGTTCAGCAATTACGGGTCTCGTCCCGGATCCGGAGGCCCTAACACTGGTCGTCCCCGTGAGTACGACGGCCGGAGGTCGTACGGGTTCGATGATGACAATCGCAGGGCCCCCCCGCCGGAATCTAGGGTTTCTGATTTGAATCAACCTTCCCGAGCTGACGAGGTTGATAATTGGGCTTCGATGAAGAAGCAAACCCTACCCGATTACGATTCGCGTCAGGATAGACCCGGCGGAAGGTACAGCTCGCTCGGTGGAGGCGGGGGCCCGGGCGGCGGATCGCGGGCCGACGAG